TAGCCCAGGCTGGCCTCGAACTCACAGAGATCCGCCTGGCTCTGCCTCCCGAGTGCTGGGATTAAAGGCGTGCGCCACCACCGCCCGGCTTGTTTACCTTGTTTTTAAGACATCAATGGCATCTGTAGGACAGGCTGGTCTGGAACTTGATCTGTAATCCTTGCTGGCTTTGGACTCTAGGCCGTCCTAGACACTCAGCCTCTGGAGAGTTAGGACTCTAAGAATGCGCCATCCTGGCCAGCATTGATGTCCAATATTCTTAAAAACTATTTTTAAAACAGAATTGTAACTAATACCTACCAGGAAACACAAATCAGTAATTTTGGTTTTTATTCAAGTCTTTTGTATTTGTGTGTGGTGTATGCATGTGTGTAGGGGCATGCACACGTACATGTAAAGGCTTTGAGGAAAGGGTCTTTCACTAACCTGATGCTCATTGACTGACTAGATTGGCCTTTTTTTTTTTTTTTTTTTTTTTTTTTGGCTACTAAGCCTCTGGCATCCTCCTATTTCTGCCTCCTGGTGCTTGGATAACATACATCCACATGCTGCTAACCCTGGGGTTTTACTTGGGTGCCGGGGCTCTGAACTCAGTTCCTCATGCCTGTGTGGAGAGCACTGTACCCACTGAGCCGTCTGTCCAACCCCGGTTAAATTCTTTGAGAGAATAATTGGATGGATGAATTTAAAAACAAACTGGTTTTAGTACAGTTAATTGCCAAGCTATACTAATAAGAGGCTGGCCTCAAACTCACAGAGATCTACCTGCCTCTGCCTCCTGAGTCTTTTATTTTCTCAGTCTTTATAGGAAAAAAAAAGACATAAATAGGAGTGGCTGTGACATTCATTGTTTCCTCAACTCTTTCTGGAGTCTTTCTACCTCCTTGGAATGTAAAATTAATTCCTCATCTAATCCTTGAGTTCAAGGAGGGGCCCAAGTCCGATCTGAAGACGAGGGGAAGGATAGATGATTAACTTACAGTGTGCTGAGCACTCAGCTGTAACCGCGTGGGTACAGAGAACTGTGGGAACATGGGCTGGGACGGACCTAGCCAAGCAGACATGAGGGAGACCGGCTTCTGGGTAGGAGGAACTCAGTCAAGACAGAGAGCGTGTATCCCTTCAGGGAGAGAGACAGGGAAAGTTAGGTCCAGGCTGTGAATTCACAGCTAAGATTGGCCTTATGCTGTTGGCAGTAAGGATTTCCTAAGGACACTAAGTTTAGAGTTAAACTAGGGTTGTTCTTTTCTGTCAGCTGGCCAACTGGAGTTCCCTGGGAAGAGGAACCTCAGTTGAGAAAATCCCTCCATCAGATGGCCTGTAGGCAAGTCTGTAGGTCACACTCTTAATTAATGATTGATATGGAAGGGCCCAGCCTTCTTGGGGGTGGTGTTGTCCCTGGGCAGATGGTCCTGAGTTGGATAAGAACATGGGCTGAGCAAGCCATGGGAAGCAAGCCAGTGAGCAGCATTTCTCCTTGGCCTCTGCTTCAGTTCTCGCCTCTAGGTTCCTGCCTTGATTTCCTGCCCTGACTTTCCTCAGTGACGTCCTGTGGCGGAGAGTTGTAAGTTGAAGTGAACCCTTTCTTCCCTAATTGGTTTTGGTCATGGTGTTTAATGGCAGCACTAGAAATCCTAACTAAGATATGAAGTAATATGATCAACTTTCTGTTCTGCTGATTTGTTTATTTATTGGGCTTTATTTTTCTGTAGCTCAGGCTGGCCTGGAACTTGCTATGTAGCTGGCTTCAAACACAAGGTTATTCTCCTGCCTCAGCACTTATTAAGTGCTGAGGTTACAGGCTAATACGAGGTACGGCACCTAGTTATGTTCTGGAGAGGTGTCTAGTAACAGAATGTAAAGAAGAGACCAGTTAAGGACCATTTCATAATCCAGGTTTGGGGTATAGACTGGACACGAGCTGAGGCAGAGCTGAGTTTAGATCCTTATGTTTCCAATCAGCATAGAATGTAAGGTGGATTGGGTGTGAAGAGCAGTCAGGTGTGAGAGTCAGAGGCGGGTCTCCTCTGCAGAACAAAAGTTGTGTATTCTATAACCAGTGCTTGGAAATTGGAGGTACTGTTGGCTGATGATAAGGAGAAGCTAACTGAATTCTTTGTGAGGCTTCCAAGGGAGTGAGTGGGAAGAATCT